TGCTTTATTTTCCATCTCAGCATTTTACCTGTTTTTCATGTACAGTCCTTCCTCTCCTTCACCTTGTCATGGTTTCTCCTCCAGCCACATTATGGGACACCATGAGAAGGAACGGTTGTAGTTGGTTATGATACAAACAGGTAGTCTGGAGAGATTGTGCTGTTGGAGTTACATACTGTAGATATGGAAGCTTCTGAAACTAGTAGCATCATATCTACACCATACTCCTTTTTCTGTGTGTGTTTGTGTGCTGATGCCTTTTGGTTCCTGTAAGGTATATGTGGACATTGCTCATCATTTTCTGTGAGGTAAAATTCTGTTCTCCTTTTTATTCTACTTTTGTATTCTGACCTCAGTTTTGTAGCCTTGTGCTGTTTGCGTTTGGGCTGTTATTTATTGTGTACTGCTACATGCTTTTTATAATTAGACCTGCTTAGCTGGTTTCTGTGTGTACAGCATTTGCATGATCTCTTCTTATGTTGGTTTTTTGTTCGGTGAGAGCTCAGTGTCTCTGTCCCGTACACTCTCGTCTGTTTTGTGCAGGTGTAACTACTGCCAGAAGCAGCAAGATGGGGATAAGAGTTGTTTGTTTTCAGCTTTTTTGTGCTGTGACTCTTTACGAGACATATCATGCCCCTGTTGCGGATGTCTGATGTTCTAACCACCATCTACTTGTCTCTCACTGCCTTAGGTGTGGTGTCAGTCAGCTTCGAGGAGGATGAAGAAGGAAATCTTTGCCTAATCGCCTACCCCCTCCCCAGTGACGCAGCAGTAGATCTGGAGAACACGGACCCTTCGGCCGACTGCGAGCACAAAAGCAACATGCTGAAGTGGGGCAAAGTGGTGGCATCCTCACTGCTAGTGGACAGTGAACATTACAGTAAAGATGGCCGAAGCCGTCACTCTCGCAAAGACAAGGACAAGAGGTGAGGTGGAAGAGAAAGTCTGAACAAGTACAGCAGTACACTCAGGAACTTGTTACTCGCGATAAAGTTAAAGGTGTAGTCTTTGCACAAACAGGCGGGAACAAAGTGCGTCACTTTCATTTTGAAACTTAAAGTACTGATAAATTTAATCTAACTTTATTTAACAAGTGGGAGCAAACCTGATTTCTGCAGGCCCTTCACGTCCCAGACACAAACTGTTTGAACTCCTCCCCTCTGGACGGCACTACAGGTCACTGTACGCCAAAGCTTTTCTTCCCCTGGGCCGTCACAGTGATGACCAACTAATCCATGTCTGTATAACAGGACAACAGCTTTGTGTTTTTTCCCTCAGTGCAAGAAGTGTACATAACAATCGGAAAGTGTATATACAGTATGTATACAAATAGAATGTCTGCCTTTTTCCTATTTTCTTGGTGACTCACACGTACATTGAGAGCCTCTGTACTAGAGTCAAATTCCTTGTGTGTTTAAATACACTTGGCAAGTACGATTCTTTATCTTTGATACTGTTATTTACTGTAAAGTACAGATAAACTTTCAACTTTATTTAACAGGCGGGAGCAAAGTGAGTCACTTTTCCATTGATACAGATTAAATTGTAGGTTGATAGCTTCAGAGTGGTTACACAACCATGATATATTTAAAGCAGCTTTTTGTTTCCCATGGATGGTAAAGCTGTAGTCCCAGAATTTGATGGTCCACACTCTGACTTACACATACAACCTGAGGCAACACTGGCTCTAAATACAGCAAGAGGCTAGTCCTTGGCCTTGGGAGCCAGGAGGAGGCTCACAGCCTTGGGTACATGGATGTCTGTACATGTACAAATACAAACTTTTATGTAGCCTGGGCCTGGGGGTGAAGCAGCCAAAGGAATGGTACTGGTTAAGGACAGAGGATGAGAGGAGGCTGTTCTTTCAATTGTGGAATGATGGCTAGTAAAAGACACTGTTCTATTAGTCTTTATATCCTATGGTTAATCACTGACCTGTTGTTACCGGCTCTACTACCCACACTAACACTTAATCACTTTCAAGTCAATTCTGTATTTTCTTTGTGCTTTGTATGTAAAACTAACGAGGATCGCTCTCCTTCTGTCGTCCAGTGTTCACAAGCTGCAGGAGGACGTGGAGCTGGAGTGGCGGCAGCAGGCTGAGGTTCTCTACTACAGACTGGAGCGCAGTCACAGTAACGCCGTTCCGCAGCTCAAACACAACCCCTGGAGTCTCAAGTGTCACCAGCAGCACCTGCAGAGGATGAAGGAGAATGCCAAGCACCGTAACCAGTACAGTATCCTCTTACTGACACCGTTTCTGCCAACATTTACTATCACAGTGGACAGAGACAGGATGTACTGTTCAGAAGTTTCAGGCCAGAGGACATGGCGTGTCCAGCTGAGCTGTCAGGACTCAACCACAATATTTACACATCGCTGAAATGCGTGCATAGTTATCAGTGGCTTCAGCTTTGTATTGGCAAAAGTTTACATTGAGATTTTATCTAACCTTGTCAAGCAGTTGTTAGCTGTAAGCTGGTATCAGTGTAGAAGACCATGGCTTTTCCACTTTGTCCTTGACTCAGTTTCACAGAATTCATCCTGCTGGAGAACCTGACGTGGAGCCACACGGTACCATGTGTGTTGGACCTGAAGATGGGCACACGGCAGCATGGAGATGATGCCTCTGAGGAGAAGAAGGCAATGCATATCCGCAAGTGTGAGCAGAGCACATCAGCCACAATAGGAGTGCGCCTCTGTGGCATGCAGGTGGGCTATGCTAAGACAGGCCTATGTGTTCATGACTTAAAAGAATATCTAACATCTGTCTGTTAGATATGAAGCTGCACTCAGCAGCTGCTTAGTTAGCTTAGCTCAAACACTGGAAATGGTGAGACATCATCCAACTTGGCTCAGTCTAGCAGATCACATTATAATTTGTTTAATCTGTATGAAGACCAAATTATAAAAATATGTTTTTTGTTACTTGGATCAAGACAGTTGCCAGGCAACCGGCAGACGACCAAGGACGTTACTGATCAAAGCCAAGAAATAGTCCAAAATATGAAATTCTAAAAATTAGGACCTACTCCTTTAATAGCCCGACTACCATGTGTTGTACCATCTGTCAAGCATCAAATGGCAGTGAAATTAGCCTTAAGCCAGTAAGTGTGACTGTGACACATTCAGATTGAATCAAACTCATCCTTCGCTACAGTTATCAAAGGAGAAATAAAATGTCAGTTAAGACACAATAGGGTTATTGTAAATTTCTTTGGCTGCACGGTCCAGTGCAGGTAAACAAAGATCATTTTCAATGGTGCTCTCCATATAAACCAACAAATCGGGGGAACTCTTCCATCTTCTTGTTTATCTGTCCCTCCAGGTGTACCAGTCTGACACAGGCCAGCTGATGTTCATGAACAAGTACCATGGTCGTAAGCTCACCCTGCCAGGCTTCAAAGAGGCCTTGTACCAGTTCTTCCACAGCGGACAGCGCCTACGGCGTGAGCTCCTCTCCCCAGTGCTGCGCAGGCTCAGAGACATGCAGGCTGCCCTGGAAGCCTGTGAATCCTACCGCTTCTACTCCAGTAGTCTTCTCATCATATATGATGGGGCACCACACCGAAAACACACACGGCGACGCACAGAAGACGGACTATCTGATGAAGAAGAGGAGGAGGAGGCTGAACCGGAAATGGAGGAGGAGGAAGAAGACGAGTCGATGGGCGAAGTAGCAGGTGCACTTGGTTTCCCTCACAGCCCCTCCATGTCCAGTGACATCAGCAGTAGTTGCTGCAGCAGCAGCAGCACTAGCAGTGGTGGTGGGAGCTCATGTGTCAGCCAGGCTCGCCTGTCCCGCTCCGACCCCCGCAGCCCTGTGGTGGATGTGAGGATGATAGACTTTGCCCACACCACCTGCAGACATTACCAGGAGGACAGCGTGGTGCACGAGGGCCAGGACAGTGACTACATTTTTGGCCTCGAGAACCTCATCACCATCATTTCGGAGCTGGAGAACCAAAGCACAGACTGAAGGCTGACATGACACACACAGTCACAGAGACACGGTGATGCTGAATTGTGGGAGTAAGGATGGGACTGAACTACAGAGGAGAAGAGAGAAAATCCAACCTTGTTATAGCTGGCTTTTCATTGGACCCCCTTCCTGTTTCTGGTGCTTCTCGATGCTCCTGTTGTGTGTGTGTGTGTCTCCGTATTTGGAATTTGAAACAGGCCTGCAAGTAACATAGAAGAACCATCTGTGACACATGCAGTGATTTACTCATCACCATCATTCTGTTTTAACCCAGTGCACCGAAAAAAGGTTTAGGCAGCAAAAGAAATCAGTTTGAAGTCTGAGACAGTAGAAATGTTTTCCTTGTGTCCGATTCCAAAGAAAGTGTCCACATTTTGCACACACAAACATCCACACATTCTGCTGAATGAGTGTATGTTTAGACTGAGACAGGACTATCAGAGCGAGCAGGAGTTGTACGTGTACAAGGACAGTCAATGGGCAGAAAGGTCACGTGCTCACACACTCCGTTCTTCTCCTTGTGCCTGTTCATTCTGCCAGCCTACTTCGCCTGTTCATCCTCACTCAAAGAGAATCTATCCATATCAGAGATGATACAGAATTTATTCATTTGATGATATAGAATCTATTCATTTGACGTTTCATAAAATAAACTAAAAGTTTAAAAAAGAATGTAAATGGAGAGTACTACATTCCATGTAAACAATAATGTTATTAATTAACATTGTTTTCGACATGTTTGGATTCCTCTGTCTTGTATGTTTGTGAAATTAAAGCCTTTGGTTTGAGCTAACCTCTTTGTCTTCTTTCATGTTTGCTTGCAGACAACCTCAGGAGCTTTTAAATTACAGGTGTAAAGACAGAAACCGAAGATTTTCCAGATTACATGAAATATGTCACCGCAGTCAAATTACATGTAAATGTCCAGTATGTGAGGTTGTTCCCTGGGAGTGTACATACCTGAGGGCCTCTGTCTGAGCACCAGCTGGCACAAGCACATGATTAAAGATTAATTAATCTTTCCACATATATCATGGAAAGTATGACAGGACTGCAGCTCAATGTAAGCAGGCACCTGAGGTCCACTCTCACCAGCTGCTGTGCAGAAAAGTAACTGGAGCACATGAACACCCTAGGCCTGCTGTGGGTGCATCCTGGAATTTTGTGGAGTGCAGCCAAGACACAACATTCCCCAAACACAATTCCCTTACTGCAGAAGAACTTTGCAGTTGCAGTGATGCTAAAATAGGAGGCTGACAGCACCTCAGGCTGCCTAGGCTGGTTGGTTCATCTCTGACCAGAGGCGAGTCGTGCTGTGACACCCAGCCGCCACACAAATGGCAATCTGAAATATGAAACATTTATTTTAATTTGATTGCACGCTGTGCTCACCCACAGCTACACACTTTATTGTTTTGTTAAACTAAGATTTAAATATTATTCATTGCCAAAGCTGTTTTAGTTTGAGTCAAATATTAACTAGAATATATCATAATATGAAGACCATGTGCTTGTTCCAGTTAATGCTGAAAACTGACCTCCTGCACATCATCTGTCACATCCTTGTTGGGCTTAGGACTTGAACACATTGTCACTTGAGGTCTGATATAGAGCGTATGCTTGTTTTACAGTGTGCTCCTGATGCTTAACTGTAATGTAATATACAGCACAAAGTGCTTCTCTCAAAGATCCCTTTGGATGACTGCCTATACATGCTCTTTAGATACTGTATGCCATTCTAGGACCTTGCTCATTATGCCATCCTGTGGCAGTCTAGGTACAATGAAAGGTCAGTAAAGGGCATGAGCTGAGCAGACAGACACTTTAATCTTTAACAGTCTAGGTCAGGGCAGAGTTAGTTACGTTTAAACACATAATGTATTTATCCCTGTATTTGCACAGTTTAATGGACTGCCAGGGAGCAATATTAGAGCTGGATTCAGCTCTGAAACAGGACTGGCATGTGATTCCAGAGGGACAGAGAAATGGAGAAGATAGCCAGGGTTGTGTAGCAGACTCAGTGTTTGAATGCTGGTTTCAGCCGTCAAAGTGATCCCACTGTCTGTGCATTTATGCATCTATATACAGTATATATATATGTACTGTATATTGCACCACATGCATGCTGTAGATTCAGTGTTTTGCTGTATCAAATAGCTTGCATGCCAGTGCATGACATGTGTGTGCATGTACATCCTCACAGCCCATTGCTGCAAGTGGAACAGTTACATAACAGTGGTTAAAATCACTATGGTAACAGGAGCTTTTGCTGGGAATGAAACTCTGCCATCGTTTTTGGGCGACTTGTATTACAGTACTGAATCAAATATTTTCTTATCAACATAAAACCCCTTTACTGACAAAGTGATGATCACGGGTGATTTCTATTCAACTAATTATGTAACTTCTAAGACTGGTTGGCTGCACCTGTGATGGCCGAGGTATGTTCTATTAAAAGATTAGATTAGATTAGATTCAACTTTATTGTCATTACACATGTACAAGTACAAGGCAACAAAACACAGTTTAGCATCTAACCAGAAGTGCAATAACAGCAGAGCAGAGTGTGCAGAATCTACAGTCTGTACTAATTTACCAATAGATATGTACAATTGATATTTACAGTAAGTTATATAAGGTAATATACAATATACAACAGTCTTTATGGATTTGAATTACAAGTAATGGATAAAGTACACTGAGCTTATAAAACACTAGTGCAATGGGATGAGCATACATTAAGCAAACTGACATCTGTCCAGTTTACCACAGCTCTATAAAAGGAACAATGAAGCAAATAGCAACTGTGATTTTGATGTGATTATATTTATTATCTTCAGTTCAATTCAGTTTTATTTACATTAGCACAAAATCACAACAAAAGTGATCTCAGGACACTTTATAGAGTAAAGTCTAGACTCTACTATTATTATTATTATTATTATAGAGAAAAACCCAACAAATCCCCCTTGAGCAGCACTTGGTGACAGCAGGGAGGAAAAACTCCCTTTAATGGAAGAAACCTCCGACAGACCCCAGCTCTTGGTGGGCGGCCAAAGAAGAAAAGCTACAAGACAAAACAAACAATAAAGCACTGGGCTACCTGGCACACAGTTTGCGACATGTAATGGTGGCACATAGATGCATGGAGATTGGAGGAGAGAAGAGAAACTCAGAGCATCATGGGGCCCCCCAGCAGCTTAGGCCTATAGCAGCATAACTAAGGGAAGGCTCAGGGTCACCTGATCCAGCCCTAACTATAAGCTTTATCAAAAAGGAAAGTCTTAAGTCTAATCTTAAAGGTAGAGAGGGTGTCTGCCTCACGAACTGAGACTGGGAGCAGGTTCCATAGGAGAGGAGCTTGATAACTAAAGGCTCTGCCTCCCATTCTACTTCTGTGGACTTTAGGAACCACAAGTAGACCTGCACTCTGAGAGTGAAGTGCTCTGTTAGGATGGTAAGGCTCTATGAGGTCTTTAAGATATGATGGCGCCTTGTCATTAAGGGCTTTGTATATTAGGAGAAGGATTTTAAATCTATTCTGGATTTTACAGGGAGCCAGTGGAGAGAAGCTAATATGGGAGAGATATGATCTCTCTTGCTAGTTCCTGTCAGTACTCTGGCTGCAGCATTTTGGATTAACTGGAGGCTTTTTACAGAATTATTGGGACATCCTGAGTCTGGACATAACAAATGCATGGACCAGTTTTTCAGCATCACTTTGAGACAGGATGCTCCTGATATTTGCGATATTACACAGGTGAAAGAGGGCAGTTCTAGAGACTTGGTTTATGTGTGATTTAAAGGAAATATCCTGGTAAAAATGACTCCAAGGTTCCTCACAGCAGTACTGGAGACCAGAGCTATGTCATCTAGATTAGATTAGATTAAATTAGACTAGACTAGACTTGACTTTATTGTCATTACCTATGTACAAGTACAAGTACAAGTACAAGTACAAGTACAAGGCAACGAAATGAAGTTTAGCATCTAACCAGAAGTGCAACAACAGCAGTGTAGAGTGCGCAGTATCTGCAGTCTGTGCAGTCAGAACTAATTTACCGATGGATATGTACAGTTGATATTTACAGTAAGATATGTAGGCTAATGTATGATATACAACAGACTATGGATTTAAATTACAGGTAATGGACAAGTTACATTAAGCTTATGGAACACTAGTGCAATGGGATGAGATGGAATGAAACAGTGCAGAATAAAAAGATAAGTTAACTGAGTGAACAGTTCAATGGATGTAAATAGTGCAAAGATAAATATAAATATACATTATCTGCATATGAACAGTGTGCAAATGAATACAGAGCAGTATCCTGTGAGTAGAGTATGTGCAAATTAACAGATCACTTCAGTGTTACAGGTAACAGAAGTGTACTGCATAAGTCCTGGAAGGAGAGATGAGAAGGGGTGAGGTGTGTGTAGTGGTATAGAGGAAGGCAGTGGGGGTTCAGCGGGGGACAGAGTTCAGTAAGGAGACAGTTGTGGGGAAGAAGCTGTTCCTGAGTCTACTGGTTTTGATCCGGAGGCTCCTGAAGTGCCTCCCAGAGGGCAGGAGGTCAAACAGTTTGTGAGCAGGGTGAGAGGAATCATTGAGAATGCTGCAAACATGTTGGAGACAGTGTTCCCTGTGGACAACCTCAGTGGGCACCCTCGAAAGGAGTGGATGTATATTTTGTAATTCATTTTTCTAATAAATTACTTTATAGAGATTAATTTTCACATTAATTGGCTGTTTTCTGTTGATAAAATCTACTTTAACTTAAAACCTTCAAATGGCTTGAATATTTTTCACAGGTAATGTACGAGTGTGGGTGTCCATCCTTTTCTAAAGGCAATGAGATGTTTAATAAAGACACTGTTTAGCCTCATTCTGTTCAGCGGATCTATTTTTTATCGCATCTCTCACGTACTGCCCTGATTAAACTAACACTGAAATTCATCTAATCAGGCCAACTTGTCATACATCACACAGACATGAAGTATCAGCTTAGTGTCAAGTTAATAATAAACTATGCTCAAACATGAACCATAAACACAAAAATGTAAAATATACAAAATATATATTATATCAATTAATGAAATAAAACTCAAGCTCACAGTGATGCTTCTAAGAATGACATATGAAATAATCAGAGTAAATTTCACATCATGATGTAACAGAAACGTCACATATGGCAGGAAGATGAATCATGCACTAACCCATTTCCGATCTAAATCATTCAATTAGTAAAATCCTTACCCTCTTACTTGATCTGGCTGCAACACACAAACCATGTTAAAGCTAGTAAGAGGACCTGCATCTAGCTTTAATCTGTAAAGAGAATTAGATTGACTGTTTAGAAAAGCATAAAATTGCCACACAGCCTATGAAGAAGCAGAAACAGATCAAGAATGGCAGAGAAATGGAAGTGAAGAAAAGCACCACTGAGCCAAGATGTAATTAGAAAGTTCCATAATGGTGGCAGGGACACTGTCTGCCAGGCGACCGGGCCTGAGGCTGCTGTCATACCCATGGTCTGCTGGTCCACTCTGACAAACTCATTTACGCTGACCACCTAATTACTATAATGAACCATCAGAGGCACAGATAAAACTAAAACAACTCTTTACTCAACCTCAGCCATGATGGTGGAATCACTCCCTGGGTGTTACTCTGGCTTTTATTATACTGCCACTCCACAACTGGATTTGTGGAGTATTAGAGCAGTTTGGGCTTTAGATTGAAAAATTGATAGATACTGTGAATACCAAAAACTATTGTGAAACAGTTTTCAGTCACCAAACAGAGCCTGTACTGTCCATTTTAGTGACAGACAGGTGCAAGACGTAATGACTAATGACAATTTTAATGACATACTTGTTATGAAACAAAAATCAAATATTGCAGCTAGAGATGATAATTCAGCACTCTGTGTCTTCACTGTTTTGGGATTCTCTGCCCACCCCCTTCTTCTTCTTTTGGTCTATCCTCAGTGAGAGTTTACTTAACCTCTTCATATATGCATTTGCACATACAGTATATGTGTTTCTACCTGTGTGTAAGATGTGTGTTTATGCCCACTCCCAGCTAGTGAACAGCTGAGGATTGATGTACAGTAACTCAGAGAATGCTGATGGACAAAAATGCAATGTGATTGTCTGGGAGTGTTTACACACACACACACACACACACACACACACACACACACACACACACACACACACACACACATATCTAGAAATATAAATCTGTTTCCCACCACCATGTTCACCAAAAGACTGATCAGGGTAACACAAGACAAAGAAAGACAAAAAACACATTTGCATATGAAGGATTTAGCTAGACGTATAATCTTCAGGCTGAGTGCTGTTGATGTAACTTGAATAGCCCTGTGTCATCCCCATCCAGTGTCTGTTGATGAAGCTGCCCACAGACTGCCTGAAACTCATACATGCCTCCACATCTGCAGGGTCTCATCACTGTTTAGATTTACTCATCTCTAAAAGAAGAAAAAGTCTGACTCATCTGGGACAGACGTGAATTAACCACCTAATCATGTACCGGCATAACACCATGTACATTCCTGTTCACGTATCAGCTTCCCACACCTCAGGCAGACTGTGCCACATTGCACACTATCCCTATTTGGAGGCATGTCTATATATGTAGGTCAGGATCAGGATCAGTATTGAGAGTTTTTTTTTGCCTGATTTCAGGATACATTTGGTTTGAAATAATTAAATTTTATGTATTTTATGATAGTAGCAGTGGCATAAGTTCAGCGCATCAAGGGTGAGTTTGCTTCTGCTCCTTAAAGCTTTCTTTGAAACTAACTGTATGATTAAAGAGAGCAGGGTGTTGCCTTTCACTGAGAAGCAGGTCACTGGCACTCATAATAGCAGTTTAACTACTGTGCATCAACCGCTCCCAGGAAAGTATGGGTGTCAAATGAATATCATCAGTTTACATTCATCTATTAGTGTCCATAGCTGCCATAAGGAGGAACTGTCAGGCTTCACTAAGCTAAGGAGCGATAGTATTTCAACCCATGCTCTGCTTTTCTTTAGAAATGCTCTTCATCATGGGCACTGCTTTAGCTCATACTGTGAAGAGCTATACCCAAGTTAATAGCAAAAATTAGTAAGTGCTGGTAAATCATGTAGAGCAGAGATGATTACTTAATTCAACTGAAAATTATTTGGCAACTATTATAACTATAAAACATTTTGTTGGCTGCAGCTTATTACATGTGAAAATTTATTACTGAGATTGATACAATAACTTCACTATATAATAACCTTGTAATAAATAATTACATTTTAACATAAAAACTCAAAACATATAATATTGTGATCATTTTCAAGATGGTGTATATGGTAATATTTAACTTTAGGGGATCTTTTAGAGTTCCCTAAAGAGGCCTTTTATTATTTTTAGTTTTATTTGAATCCATCCATCCATTATCTATTACCTCAAAAATAAAGTCACGCCAACCAATAATAACTTTGTTTTAAAAATCAAAGCCAACCTAGACCATATTTTCTTCAGGCCTGACAGGGAAGACTGTACACCAGATCTTGAATATAGCAGGCTATTCAGCACACTGTGAAAAGCTGAGACTGGAGGGGGCCTGTGCAGTATTTACCTGTCCTCACCTCTGTGTTAGTTCACAGCACTGTGGTCATTATATAACCATATGAACAAATATTGCTTTATCTGAAGGCAGATAAGTAGGCTCTCAGCCATTCTTCGTGACCCTTCTGTGTGTGTGTTCTGCTGAAAAACCAATCATGTGATAGATGACAGTTGGTCCAGAGAGTTTAGACTGATCAGATGTACAGATGGCTGAAAGCTCCAGTCATCATCATGCTGCTGTTTCATTACTGTGGGTCAGTGGCTGAGTGTGCCACCAGTAATGTGCAGCCAAAAGTATTCACCACCCTTCAATACTGCACAACTATGAAGGAAAGTGATGAGATCTTCTCATTACATACACTTTGATTCACTCTCTCCATTGTATGTACCTCAGCAGAATCACATTTGTTCCTCTTTTCAACTGATAAAATTTCACTTAATGTAATCTGTTATTCGCTACTCCCTTATCCTGACCATATCATTGCAACTAAACACCAAGCCCCAGCCCTTACCCTTACCTAAACCTGATTCTAATCATAACCCTAAAACCAAGTCAATATCCACAAACAGCTTTTTGGACTGGTGAAAGCTGGCTAAAATGTCCTGACACCGCCAAAATATCCTCACAACAATGCCACTGAAATAAAATTTGTTTACCACAACCATAGAGAGAGACACACAAGAAGTATGGCTAAATATCACCATTGGAATAACAGTGAGCTCTAGTGGTGAGATTTTGTTCATACACACTTTGCAAATGTAGTACTCTGAAGCCACAGTCATTCTCAGACCTCCTCGTTGTTCTTCAATACAAAGGGACACCAAATTATGTCAAATAAATAGGAAACGGCATCACTGCAGCTCTTTAACCGCACAGTCAAGAAGACAAAATACTGTACATCCTGTATTGTTTTCTATTAGTGACATCAGGCAGTATTGGTTTGTTACATGGTTTGCTTGCATGTGGTCAGTGGTGGAGGAAGTATTTAGATCTTTTATTATTAGTGAAAGTAAAAGTTCTGCATTCAAAATCATACAGACGTATTATCACCAAAATGTTCTTAAAATAGGCTATGAATAGTAGAAAATGTCAAGTGATTGTTAGCTTTTTAGTGATGAAGTTGGTGAATGTGAAGCTTCTTCTTCTGCTTTCGGCTGTTCCCGTTAAGGGTCACCACAGTGAATCATCTATTTCCACCTAACTCTTTCCTCGGCATCCTCTTGGTGAATGTGAAGCTAATGTTCAATATTTTATATCCTGTTTAGTAATATATTATATGAAAATCTGCTGCTTTTACCATCATATCTGCTGCTGTTGGTCATTTGCACTACTGTCCATGTACATCTCATAAGCTACTACGCACCGCATCACCAACGCCCCGGTGATGCTAACCATCTGACAATCATCTTGTTATTATTGCACTACTGTCACTGATTGTACATGGTTTTGAGTCATAGCCTATTAGGCTGTACCATTTAGTTTTATGCTAATTACTCTAATTTAGTTTTCTTATTCTAGTTTATTCAATTTTTATTCTACTTCTATTCTACTTTAATTGGTATAGCATTCAATATTCGGTGAGAGAGAAAAGGTATTTCGATTTTTTGTATGTCCTGCACATATAGTAAATTGACAATAAAAAATCTTTGATCTTGATCTTGACAAATGGCAATACTCAAATGAAATACAAGTACCTCAAACATTTCTAATGTTTATTGCCTTTATTAGTCAGAGAAAATGTATATTAATTATATTTCTGAATGTATGCCAGAGTTAGACAAACATTCATATTTATCAGTAATTCCTGATAAAGTAAACGCACACTGTTGCATTCTACCACTGCAG